CTGTGGCTTAAAAAAAAAAAAAAACTATAATAGGTTTGTGTCCATTTTTTTACATTTATAGGTTTTTAAAGTGATGTCTTATATCTGTGTAGGAAAGCTTTACAAATGCAGTGCTACCCCCAGAGGAGCTGCTTGGTTTCATGGGTCCTCTGTTCTGCCATGATTTCCTAAACCGCATGGTCCCCACTGACACACCTGGTATAGATTGAAGGCCACTCCCACTTGTCTAATGTAAAGTGATTCTAAAGGCTTACATTTAAAGAAAAATAACAAACATGTCTATAATTACCTGCTGTGTGCAGTGGTTTTGCACAGAGCAGCCCGGATCCTCCTCTTCTTGGGTCCCCCGCTGGTGCTCCTGGCCCCTCCCTCCTGTTGGGTGCCCCCACAGCAAGCAGCTTTCTTTGGGGGCACCCAAGCATACGCACTTCCCAGCTGCTGCTTCTTGTGCCCATTCACACACGGCCGTGGCCTGGCCCTACCCTCCCTCTCTTCTCATTGGCTCACTGGCTGTGATTGCCAATGGCTCCCACTGCTGTCTCAGCCAATGAGGAGAGGGTGTCCTGGGATAGCTGAGACTCCAGTAGACATCGCTAGATCGAGAGGGGGCTTAGGTGAGTATTAGGGGGGCTGGAGGGGATGCTGTACAGAGGTTTTATACCTTCATGCATAGAAGAAACCTTGATCTTTTCAACCACTTTAAGTGTTTGTATATACCAAATTTTATTAGTATTCAGAAACAGGCCACAGACTGCTGAATGTTAGATAAAGTGAGTATAATGTTAAAAGGTAAGCCAAACGCAAGGCATAAACCTGTAGGCAGGCAACTGAAACATTTGGACACTGGCCTATGTTTTGACAATTAACTATACTTCAGCAATGCTAAACCAGACTTTAACCGATGCAAACAGGGTTAAAAGAATCAGCACTAGCTAATCCCAAAAAAAAAGCAGTGCTGGGGAGAAGAGGGGAGAGTGGGTACAGACACACGTACAGCTGGTCTGTCCTACATACAGTGCAGCAGCAGTGGGGTGAGGGGAGACACAGCCAGCAGCTCAGCTGGGAAGCTAGGGGCGAGAGGACCGTGGGAAGACACACAGACAGGCGTTCCTCTCACACAGCCAGCAACACAGTGGCAGGTTGGCCGGCGAGAGATTCACACAGCTGACGGGCACCCAGCTTCACAAATATTTAATATATGAGAAAGGATTTTCAGAGTTCTATGAGGTCTAACTGAGACCTAGGAAGGAAAAGACTTGCTCACTTGAGTGTGTAAAAGTCAGACTTTTTACAACAGATGGTAGAAAGACAAATGAAAACATGTGAAAGGAACTAAGAGCTCCATCTGCTGGCTGAAAAGAATGCTACATAAACTTTATATGCTACTTTTAATTTTAACCACTTCAGCTCTGGAAGATTTGACTCCTTTTTATGACCAGGCCATTTTTTGCTATACCGCACTGCTCTACTTAAACTGGCAAGCTCTCGGTCATCCAACCAAAAATTTATATAGGTAGCACCAAAGAGGAACTAACCTATAGACAGCAGCCTCACAAGGAAACCAACTGCAACATATTGTGAAAAACTTTAAAAACCACCTTTATTAAATACAGATCACATATAAAAATTAACTACCATCAAAAGGCGAATATAGCTGAATTTTCCCAAACCACTTTTAAAATAGGGGCTGACAGCGTTGTCACGTCAATATTACCCCCATTTGAGCCCAGGCTGTCACATGCTCCAGTCATACCCACATGCATATCACTCAATACTGAGTATTTGAATCAGCACAACTTGCTTTCAGTACCACAAAATTGTACCCCAGGGAACGCTCCAGTGCAAGCTGATTTATATAATTGCCATCTCATATGAGACATAAGGTACTTAGAACTTGATATTCCCTGTAGTATACCGAAAAGAAGTAAAGGCAAACACCTACATGCATCAAGGGAAGATATTAACGGCAGTGCTTCCCATACTAATGATGTAGATGGCAACAGAGATACTAATTACATGGGTAACTATCCTAATAAAATGTTCAAAAGGAGTCCGGATCCAAAAAGATTCATTGGGGTAGATTTACTAAAACTGGTGCACTCCAAATCTGGTGCAGCTGTGCATGGCAGCCAATCAGCTTCTAACTTCAGTTTATTCAATTAAGCTTTGGCAATAAAACCTGGAAGCTGATTGGTTTCTATGCAGAGCTGCACCAGATTTTGTACTCTCCAGTTTTAGTAAATAACCCCCATTGCCTCATTCATAACGCATGTAAGTACTCCTTCAAGGGCAGATCATTACTGCACCACTACGGATAGTTCCCAGCTGGATTAATCAGCATTGCACCGTGTATAGGCTGTTGTATTGTAACAATGGCCAGAGACAAATGAGGAGCAGGTTACACAGCAGATGACATTGAGTAGACCGGCGGCATGCATCTGAGTTGGAAGAACAAAGCCATAGTATCACCTGTATTAAAACGGTCCAAATGTTCATGGCACTTATCCTTTGTGTATAAAGTTCCTCATGACCCACTAACATGTCAAGTCTTCAGTACATGGAGGCTCTCACCCATCCAGCATTTGGAGCAATGATTCCGCCTGTCAGTCTCAACTTGGTCTCCCATCCCAGGGCATCCTGCTGTGGCCAGAAGAATCCTCAGCATGTGACTAGTCCTGTCACTATTTGGTGCATACTTAACGGGTGCAGCTACAAGGGGCCGCCAGCATGGACGCAGTCGGGGCTCACAGACACCATCACGGTCAACGCATTTCGCTCACTGAATCGTGAGCTTTGTCAGGACACCTGGGCGTCCACCCCTGCCACTTTTTAAGGCGATTGTTGCACTTTAATCTTGAATCTCACCAACCTCTAGAACACTTGTCCTAATCAGCACTCTTGAATCCTGAGAATCCGTGAGGACATTGATGACGAAACGCGTAGGGGGGCTTGATTGATGTGATGTCATTATGTTCCTAGTGGTCGGTATGGTGCATGTGCAAGACGGCTGGGTTCATTTTTGTTTTACTTGATATGCTGTCGGCTGGGACACCGTTTCTTGTAAGTGAAATGTGTGTGTATTAAAAGAGATGATTTTAAAAGGTACTGCACCATGAGGTTTTGTTCTTTTCCCCAGTGGCTGGTCTAATATCCTATGGAGATGGTGGTGTCTATAAGAAGTGGATCTATCTAGTGACACATCCTACTGCAGAGTATTGCTCCCTGGATATCGATTTTCAAGCCAAGTATTGGCTATTGCAGAGTATTGCTCCCTAGATATCGAGCTTAAAGCCAAGTATTGTCTCATCAGTCTGCTGACCATTGCTCCCAGAGCAAAAAGCGCTTTATGCTGATTTATAACATTATCAGCATATAGCCCTGGTGAGTTTATTTAGTTTATTTGGTGGTGGATTGACACAGTTTTTTTTCGTTGGACTTTGTTTGAAAAACTTTTCCCCTAAAGTTACTTTATGGGACTTTATATGATTCATGGGGCATTTGTTTCACATTTTTTAAAATTTTGTTCGCATTTTGGTGATTTAATTTACTAGCGCAAATGGTTTGTTTTACAATCCTGAGAATACGCCTACTTATACATTGTAACAAGACAAATAAAACCATTGTATCAAAAGTATTGATCTCAGAGAACAACAAGAAAGGAGGAAAACAAAAAAGGAAAGTGAAGTGGAATAAAAGGAGAAGCAAAGAAAGAGAAAAAGAATAATGGATAAAAATAAATTGTGAAAAAAAATAATTATGAAAAAATTATAAATGTAAAATAGAATAACAAACACAGATAAAAGTGAGTAAATATCCCAAGAAGATATGGGTTAAGAAGCCACATTTGTAAATAGTCAAAATTTAAATATAAATATATGCAAAAAACGCATACAAAAAAAGCATTAAAAAAAAATAAACGCATGTCTGCTTGGGATAAAGTACAAAAAAATACATATTCAGACCGGAATACATCAAAACAGCAAAAAAAAAATATATCAAAAGTAACACATCAAAAAAAAAAACATCAAAAAACAAAAGGGAAAAAAAAAAATCCAAAAGGGAAAAGAGAGATGGTATTAAAGATGTGTGTGCACATGATGTGCCCAAATGAACATGTCGTGCATCCAAATAAACTGAGTAATGAAATATATGAAAGGATACATATACATACATATATATAAACAACTTGATAAGCATAAGAAAATACATATATACATGGATGCACACACATATGCATATACACACATGCATCTATATGCAGGGGTGAAGGGAACACTAGAGACATGCTCTTTATCAATCATAAAAAATATGTGATGTCCCATTCATGGTTCAAACCCTGTGGGACATGTGTATTTAGATGAAATATCCAGAATACCTCCCTTTTGCACAACCGCAAAAACATACCACCACCTCTTTTGAGAGGACAAAATTTTTCAATGACCTGTACTGCTGTAATATCTCCTGCGTGATAATTACTGAAATGGCAGGCCACACTAGTAGAGATATTTCTTTCTATACTATATAGATGTTTATAAAAATGATCCCTTAACCTCCCTGGCAGTATGATTATGTCAGGAATTTTGTACCGAAAGCGGTACCGTTTTTTTTGCATGGAAATTTGGTGTTATGTATTGTAGGCCTGCAATTCTTAGTAATTACTTACTTAAACATCCCGGGTATGATAAAGTTTGAAACACGAAATCATAAATTATAATTTAATAAATAATCATAAAGAATAATAATATAATAATAATACATTTAATTCAATAATATAATCAAACCAAAAACACTGAAATTGAAATATAGAGCCAAGTTCGCACATCACTGAGCAAAGTCGCAAAATTGTTTTCAGTGTCTGATGACGAATTTCCCCACGAATCATTATCACTCAATTCTGCAAGTGGTTCTGATTTACTATCGCTGTTCTCTAGCCGGTCTAAAACCGATTTTGACCTAAAGGGACGCTTTTTGGACGCCATGGACGTTTCTCAGTTTCCAGGCAGAAAGAACAGTCAAAATGCAGACAGGGCACAGGACAAAGCACTCGGGACAAAATGTATGTGAAATGGTTTGAAACAGCAATGTTTTACTATGTAAAATTCGTTTAGAAAAAAAATGACATTTTTTTAAAATTTTCTAATTTCCCGCCGGTTCCGGCACCCATACGTCCCGATGTCACAGGGACCGGAATACAGAAGCCGGATGCTGGTATCGGCCAGAGGAGATGGCCGGGGACGCTGCAGGGGACACATCGCGGGAGTGAAGGACAAGGTAAGCTCTGCAGGGAATCCCTATGCAGCGCCGCATGGTAAGTCCGAGTGTAGGTCGGGGTTACCGCTTTTGGTACTGAAATTTTACCCCGAGCTACACTCGGGAATACCGCTAGGGAGGTTAAACGTCTGGTGTACGTCTCACATACTGAATATTGCAAACTTTACAAGTGATCAGATAAATCACATAGGTGGTATTACAGTTAGAGAACGAAGCAATACTATATTCTTTATTATGAGCAGTAGACTGAAATTTATTGCCCTTCATAATATGTGTACAGCATGGACAAGAGAGTGCATACTTAGCGGGTGTAGCTACAAGGGGCCGCCAGCATGTACGCAGTCAGGACTCACAAACACCATCACCATCAAAGCATTTTACTCACTGAATCGTGAGCTTCGTCAGGACACCGGGGCGTCCACACCTGACACTTTTTAAGGCGATTGTTACACCTTAATCTCTAATCTCACCAACCTTTAGATAGCAGTCATCACAATGAATTCATTAAACATTAAAAAGAGAAAAAAAATTGTTTATTGCTTATCATAGCTTAACTGAGTAGGATTAAATCACCTTATCTCTCTCATTCCAAATACATCAGGAAAAAACTAGATCATATGTACATAACCGAAAGAGCGTATTGTTCCAAAGAGATTTTCAAACTCATTTCCGTATTTAATTCTTTTGGGCTCATTGTTCCTAATTTTAAAATCCACTTCTTTTCCTTTTTAAGGAGAATAGTATTGAAGTCAGCCCTCCTGCTGGTCAATTTACAGTAAGGGCATAAAAACGTTTCACTTTTAACCCATTTAGAAAAATGCTGAGCTATTGGGGTGTCAGCCTCTGGCTCGTTCATGCAACGTTGTACCCAAATGAAATTTATATAATTTTTTTTTTCCACACAAATAGAGCTTTCTTTTGGTGGGTATTTGATCACCACTGGGTTTTAAATTTTTTGTGATATAAACAAAAAAGACCAAAAATGTTGAAAAAAAAATATTTTTTACTTTCTGCTATAAAACATATCCAATAAAAAAATGTAAAAAAATCAAATGTATTCATAAATTTTGGCATAAATATATTATGCTATGTGTCAGTTATAAAAAACAAAACAAAAACCAATAAGTGTATATTGACTGGTTTGTGTGAAAGTTATAGTGCATACAAACTATGGTATATATACTGGAATTTTTATTTTATGCTACTAATGGCAGCAATCAACGACTTATTATTGGGCTGCAGGAGTGTGGCGGGAAATTTGACACTAAGGCTGGCCATACATTATACAATTATCTGCAGATTTTTGGTTTAGATTTACCAAAAACCATATAATAGGAGGACAAACCTAAACAACACTTTCAGTTGTATCCAATTAGGCAGGCCCTTGCACTACATAGTTGAAGGTAAATCTAAAGGAAATTGGGCAGAAAATCTGCAGATAATTGTATAATGTATGGCCAGCCTAACTGCCATCTAACTGATATCACCAGTGACATTAATTGAGTGATAATACCATACACTGTCACTGTACTAATTATACTGGCTGGGAAGGGGGTTACATCTAGGGTAATCAAGGATTAAATGTGTACCTAACATATAATGTACGTAAACTGTGCTGCTTTTACTAATCTGTTGGTTTATCATCCCTGCTCTGCAGGGCTGAGAAACTGACAGATCACTCCCTATGTACAGATGTCAACACAGAACTCTGGGCTGTGACTGTACACAGCTGACCAGCATGTCCTGGCCGTGAATCATTGGCCGGGACTTGCTGACAGCCTCCCTCTGTGTAAAGCCACAACAGGTGTGGGCAGGAGTCGCACGCCCGAAACCCGGGAGTAGGCAGCAACATACCTGTACGTCACATTGCCTACAGTGGCTGCCTGTCCGCAGTACAACGCAGGCGGTTGTAAAAGTGGTTATTATATATTAAAATAGAAAAAAAATATATATATATATATGATTTTAGTCCTGAGAATAATGAATAATAAATAACAGAAATAAGAGAAAAAAAAAAAAAAATGACTATAGTTTCCCATTAGATCATAACTGCACTTTTTTTTTTTTTTTTTTAACAATTCCTGAAAATGTGTTATGAGTAAGTAAGGTATACCAAAAGCTTTGATATTCTTTTCCATGACTTATTTTGTCTCTTCATGAAATATGCACTGTGGGAAGCAGTATCTGCTTTCTCTTGGCTGCTGTAGGTTTAGGTTCTCCTTTTGTTTGTTCCACTTTTCATTCAGTCCCACTGGAATATTGCTTGAAAAAAAAAAAAAAAGTTGTTTTCAACTGTAGACAGAGCTAAAAAGACCACGGCAAAACACAACAGTTTGAACATTTACAATAGCATAGCCAAACAAAACAGGTTATTATTACTGTTTACTCATTTTTTACTTTTTCAGTATTTTACTTATACCAGTTAGTATCAGAGAGCTGATCTACTATCAGTACTGGTCAGTCTAGGAGGAAGATCCTTTGCCAGTCCATGATCCTAAGTTGGTAGCAGTTTAGGGTTAGTAATAAAAAAAAATGCAGCATCCGTCCATTGCATAGGCTCCACCAAGGGAGAGAATGGATCTAATACTGCTACTATGGGCACTAACTGAGACCATTCTTACCTTGCCTTGCAACAGAAAAAGGCCCAACTGCTTTCATACATATCGGGTGGTTGTCAATATTTTAAGAAATTATTTAATTGGATGACCTCTGCATGGTGGTTTGTTTATTACTATTATTATTTATTTCAGGTACTTATATAGCGCCGTCAATTTACACGGCACTTTACATATATATTGTACATTCATACCAGTCCCTAACCCTCAAGGGGTGTACAATCTAAGGTCCCTAACTTGCATTCATACATACACATACTAGGGCCAACTTAGACAGGAGCCAATTCACCTACCAGCATGTCTTTGGAGTGTGGGAGGAAACCGGAGTACCCAGAGGAAACCCAAGCAGGCACAGGGAGAACATGCAAACTCCAGACAGGTGGTGCCGTGGTTGGGATTCAAACCAACGACTCTAGTACTACCAGGTGGAAGTGCCAACCATTTAGCCACTGTGTTTTGTTGGAGCAAAACAAAAAAAGGGCAGCAGACATTAATACTGGGCGTCTTTAGATGGGTTGCCACTTCAAAAGCAGCAAGGAGCTAAGGATGAGCAATCTGGGCACAGCTTGGTACACAAGAGGTTTGGCAAACCCAGGAGATAAATCTTTTAAACTCAAACATAGCACCAAAACCCCATTGAAATCTACGGGAGATGAACCTTATTTTTTGTGTCCATTTTCAAATCCAATTTGCAAGCTTTTGTTAAAAAAAAGGGCATGGACAGCTGGACACTGCCATGGGGGACAAGTACCAATGTGAAAAAAAAAATACCATTCAGTAGGAAGTGGGTCTTTTATTGTAGCTTACAGAGAAACAATAAAAAAGATACAAATCCTTTATATAGCCTGCTTTTAGGATACATTAACCCAGTGTTTCTCAACCTTTTTTCAGTCAAGGCACCCTTTAAAATTATGGACAGTCCCGAGGCACCCTATAAAATTATGAACAGTCCCAAGGCACCCTATAAAATTATGGACAGTCCCGAGGCACCCTTTAAAATTATGGACAGTCCCGAGGCACCCTTTAAAATTATGGACAGTCCCGAGGCACCCTTTAAAATTATGGACAGTCCCGAGGCACCCTTTAAAATTAGGAACAGTTTTGAGGCACCCATTCTAAAATGGGGTGCATCAAGACTGTCCATAATTTTAAAAGGGCACCCCATTCTAAAATATTAAAACCTATTCTAATAGTATTATGTAACACAGCAACATCCACACGTGCAGGACACCCAACATTAGAGGGGATTTATTCTTCCAAAGCAAATACACTTTTGCACACTGGTACTGACTAGTACTCCAATGTTTATCTTCTCCCTCAGTTTTTCTCCATCACTGAGCTAATGTGACCCCAGCATTGATGGAGATGGGGCGGCGGAGGGTTAAACTAGGATGCTGTGCAGGTAGCTGACATTCTCCTTATCAACTGATGATGTCATTGGTTGTCAGGATGCCGGCGGCTAGAAGATCATAATGGTGCCCAATGAGAACCTGTGGCTTTGTGTAACTAAAAGGCAGGCTTGTTCCACTCGCTGGATTCTATACAGGTTTTGGGCAATTTTTTTTGAAATTTTGCCAAGGCACCCTTGACGAAGCCTCAAAACACCCCAGGGTACCGGGGCACCCTGGTTGAGAAAGGCTGCCTTAAACCTGCATGTGAGGTTGCATTTGCAGATATGGTAAGATGTATTCCTCTAAAAGCAGGGTTTTTTTCAGCGCAGTTCAGGCACCTCCAGCACTGCACGTATATAATGGCAAGTGGTGCTGGGGTGTGCTGGAGGGTCTATTGATGCTGGCTGCTGGGTCTATTGTCACTGGAGGGGATCAATTTTTGCATGGTGGTCTATTGTTCCTGGGAGGTCAATTGTTGCTGAAAGGGATCTATTGCTGAGGGAAGATTTGGTGTTGCTGCTGGAGGTGTGTTGTTGCTGGGGTTGTATTTTGTTGCAGGGGTCCATTGTTCCTGGGGGATCTACTGTTGCTGGAGTGGGGCTATTGTTGCTGGCTGCAGGGGATCTATTTTACTGCTTTTCTTATACTCATTAACAAATTCTATACACAATGATACTTGGCTCTGTATTCTCTAAAATGAGCAGTATGGGAAAGTGGGTAGGGGTAGGAACCAAGGGATGGTGCTCAGAGGTGGGTAGGGGGCCAATACAAGGGGTAACTCAGAAGAGGGAAGTTCCTGCACCTATTCTCTCAGAAAAAAAGCCCTGTCAAAAAGTGACATTAAATGTTTACAAACAGATGTCGGGGATCTATTATTTAGCAGCGGTAGCACTACCACTGCTAAGTGATAGATCCTTACCAGACTTTGTTGACAGACCGCTAATTCCTGCTGGCTCCTATGCATAAACAAGCTCTTGGGGATCCTGGGTTAACATCATTGGCCAAATACAGTTATGACTATATTTGGTCAATGACATCACTCAGGATCCCCTCTGCTTAGTTTACATTTCAGCAGC